AATTTGAATATTCAATTCAGTAATAGAATTATATATTCGAATATTCGTATATACCAATCCTCATCCTTGAATGCCTTTTGAAGATCACTCTGAGCTGCAACTTGCCCTTTAGATACATTCGAGAACACATTTTTGATTTGAAGAACTTCGTCTAAATCCGTCTCCCTATAATCATCGAAATCTAAATTATTATCTATAAAAAGTTGCAGCTCCACTCACATCAACAGAAGTAAAGTATGCTAATAAAATGAAGTAAAGCTCTTACACTCCGTTTCTCCATTCCATGACTTTATTTTTGTAACATGCAATCTCAAAACGTTTACCACCTTTTTTCAAACGAACTATAGAAACATTGGTGAGTCTATATTAGGCACAAATTTAAAAATTTAATAAGAGTTATAATAATAGATAATAAGACTAGTCAAACCGAATTTAGTTTTCACATACTTGATTTGATTGCTAGGTTGGTTAATCGGCATCTTGAAATGTTCAAAAGTGTAATGTTACTGCGCTATCTATGAATAATTTAATAATTTCGCTATTTATTTTATATTGAAAAGTATTGTTACACGAGTTTTTATATTAGTTTACAATAGAAATTTTTATCTAAATAAGACGTAGTTAAATTTTTATAATCAAAGCTGCCTAAAATTTTGTCGGATTATTTTTTGGATGCTTAACTTTCATATAAAAGTTGGAGATCAAGTGAGATCAAGTGTTCCACCAACTTTTATTAGAAGCCATTTTGACAATATTAATACATAGTACAATATAAATATGAGTGTTTTTAGTTTTTAAAGCGAAGTAACTAATAAAGGTCAAATTTCTTTTTGAATAAACGGTTCAAATTTCACGTGAGCAAGATAAGATGATTAAAAAATTAATGCTATAAAAGTATTAGATTTACGAGTATTAGAAATAACGTTAATTTTAGCCAATCAGAATTTGTGTAGATCATCCAATAAAAAACAAACTTCCATTATGCTTGTACTCTACCCTTAATAAGAATACACGATTTATATTATAAAATACCATAATAAATTATTTTAATGAATTGATCGACAAAATTTTAATCTTAGTGGGCCAATCATATGATAATATCAAACACCCCAACATATGAAAAAGAAAGATGAATGCACAATCTTTTCGGTGAATAGTTTTGCCCAATTCTGGACGCCATTGTTACACATCCGCAACGTGAGTAGTATAAATAATTCATATGAATGTATGTACAATATAATCTCTTTTTGGATCAATACGTATTAGTAATCCTACCTAGGTAGCCAATAAGATAATGTGTTGATGATCTAAAAATTTTTTTAAATTGTGCAATACAAACAGCAAATTTCGAGATAAGGAGAAATAAGTTTATCAAATTTACCTCCAAAAAAAATAGAAAAATAATAAAAAAAAAATAATATAATAATAAAAATAAAGAAAATGAGTAGAAACTCTACACAACCTAACTCTTTAATCATCGGATGGAGATTGCAAAATCACCATGTGCTTATCATTGGTGGTAACCAAATTGCTGCAAACCGTATCGAATTTGTTTTAGACGCTAAACCTCGAAAGATAACTCTTATAACACCACAATTAAAGATCTCCAATAAAGTTAAGGAATACATTGAGAAACGTATCATTATACATAAAGCTGGCGAATTTCATGTGGACTATCTGTCAAAAACTGATGACCCCATCGATCTTATTTTCTCCGCCGTTGATGATATACAGTTATCAAATAAAATTGCGATTGCCGCCCGTGAACGAAAAATTCCTATTAATGTCGCTGAAATACCTCAATTATGTGATTTTTGGCTTATGCCGACTTATCGAGATGGTAATCTTCAAGTCGCAATATCGACTAACGGCACTGGTCCTCAAGTGGCGCGTAAACTTAGGGAACACATTATTGAAAATTTACCAAATAACACAGCAGATGCTATTAATAATGTAATCCTTCTTAGGCAAAACCTCGGTGCCGCAAACATGTCCGTTCTTACCAAGATAACTAGCTCGTTGTCTCTTGATGAACTTGCAAAACTTACACATAAAGATATTAAAAGATTGACCTCTGAATATGCTAATGTTGAAGTGGATAAATCTGAAGTGTCATCAACGTCCTCTACAGTCATTGATGACTTACCTATCGTTTTCAAATCAAAAATTGTTGATAACTACCCTTCGTTCCCTGAGGGCGGTGTGAAATTTGTGGATAATAAAACAGCTGTAGCGCACGTAGCCTACGCTTTAAGCGATACTATTTTTATTTATCCAACAGTATATTCTAATTACTCTGGTGAACCTACTTTACATTGGTCTACACAGAATATTGGTAATGCTTTTGGAAAAGTATGCAATGTTATCAAAATGGATACGCGTTCTGGTGCTTCACTCGCAATTTTGGGTGCCGCGTCTTTTGCGTATTCCGGGAAGCTTGTAGCTTTTGCTTCATCACAATCTATTGTCTCGATGTTACCAAATTTATACGCTATTTCTCAAGAAAGAATACCGTTAACAATTCACGTATCCGCTCAAGGTTTCAACGATAATATGCATAATACTGTTAATTATCATGACGCGTTAATGGCACGTGACACGGGTTTTGGAATAATAAACTCTTATTCCGCACAAGAAATGCATGATATTGCGTTAATTACACATTTAATTTCCGCCTCGACAAAAACGCCATTCTTGCATATATTTGATGGTGTTAAGGTCGCTTGTGGAAATTCCGTGTTAAAGCTCGTTCCTTATGCTGAAATTCTTAAATTAAGCAAAGAACTATCAATCCCATCAAATAGTCCGTCATCAACAAAATCATTAATAATTGTGGATAAAATCGAAGGTATTATAAATAGAGTCGGAAAGCTCGTCGGGCGACAATATCGGGCATTTGAATATGTTGGATCTCGTGATGCCAACACATTGTTAGTTTCTTGCGGTGGGGAAACTGACATCGTTAAAGCAGTAGTGAAACGCCTTAGTGATAATGGTAAAAAGGTTGGAGTTATCATAGTCAGGTTATATCGACCATGGTCCGAAAAACATTTTTTAGCAATGATTCCCAAGACAACAAAAAAAATTGCCGTATTAGAGCAAGTCGCCGTAAATTTTGATGGTTCATATGATATGGGTTTATCGTTGTTCAACGATGTTGTGGCTTCACTAATTGATTCGTGGACTGGTCATATGCCTCAATTAATAGACGCAAAGTTCCCTATATCCAAACAATTCACACCCTCTACACTTTTACAACAATTAGAGTTAGGGGTGAACGTTGATTTTAACGTTGATCCTTTGTCAGATAATCTCCAAATTCAATCAACATTAAATAATGTAAAACGATGTGTATTTTGGAACGCCATATCTAAGGGAACTTTATCATCTAACCAACATATTGCAAATGTATTAATTCGTCATTCGCATTTAAATGTTTCTAGTCTCTCCACCTTTGATGCATACAATAATGGCGGTGTCGTCACTACTAATTTCTTATTAGGGAATGAACTTACAGATGTATTACATGATCTTAAAATCGATGCTGAATATATCTCAATCCATGATGACACATTAGTCAGCAAATATGATATTTTAGCTCCCGCTAAAGATGGTGCCATCGTTCTCCTCAATACCAGTTGGACTACAGATGATTTAGAAACTAAATTACCAAATGACTTCAGATATGAAGCTTTTAATCGTAAGATTAAACTATATATAATAGACTCGAATAAAATAATTCAAGATCTAGGCTTGAATATCGATGAGCATATTAGTTTGATATTACAAATAGCATTTTTAAGATTGATTACTAAAGAGTCTAAGATTAAATGTGACTTGGACGTTGCCCTTTCAGAACTTTATGAAGGCAACAATGAAAAAGAAGTTAGTCTTATTCTTCATTCAGCTGTTCAAGAAACCGATAAAACGCTTACCTTTGTTGAACCTCCACCAGCATGGCAAATTTTGGAAAAATCAGATCGTATCTTACCTTCTGTTGTTGACAATAATTCTTTCGGAAGATCAATTGATCTTCAGTTAAATGTTAAACCTAAACTTAGGTCTTGCCATACAGCTGTTCACAATTTATTATTTAAAGAGGCTTTTGGTTTCAGTAATGTCGAGCGACCTGAAGTAGGAGAAAAGACCTTTATTATTACTGTTTCTGAAAATCGTCGACTTACACCTCCAACATATGATCGTTACCTATTCCATATTGAGTTCGATATAACTGGAACGGGTCTAAAGTATGATTTGGGTGAGGCTCTGGGTGTATATGGTCATAATGATCCCAAAGAAGTTGATGAATTCTTAGAATATTATGGGTTAAATCCTAATGATCTTATTTCAATACCTAACAAAGAAGGCGATAAATTTGAAACAAAAACAATACAACAGGTCTTTGTTCAGATTCTTGATATATTCGGTCGCCCTGCTAAGCGTTTTTATGAATCTTTGGCTTCTCATGCCATTGATGAGAATGAGAAAAAACGATTATTATGGATCGCTAGTAGTGAAGGATCTGTGGAATTTAAACGTCGTGTTGCAGACACCATCACTTATGCCGATTTATTATATGAATTTACATCTGCTCGTCCACCCGTCGAAGACTTGGTTCAGATAATTGCACCTATTAAACCGCGTCACTATTCAATTGCATCCGCACAAAGTGTGCATCCGAATAGCGTGCATTTACTAGTAGTTACTGTCGATTGGGTAACATCTACTGGTAAAAAACGGATCGGTCAATGTACACGCTATCTTTCTGGCTTAAAAGTTGGTACTCGTGTTGTAGTTTCAATAAAACCATCGGTAATGAAACTTCCACCACGAGATACTCAACCTGTTATCATGGCAGGTTTGGGTACTGGAATGGCACCATTCCGTGCATTTATTGAGGAACGTGCTTATAGGAAGTCACAAGGTAAAGAAGTGGGTCCAATGATTCTTTATTTTGGATCTCGTAATCGATCTATGGAATATTTGTACGGTGAAGAATTAGAAGCTTATCACGCAGAAGGATTGCTCACATATCTTCGACTAGCATTTTCTCGCGATCAACCACATAAAGTATACATTCAACATAAGATGCAAGATGATGCAGAATTATTACATCAATATTTGCTAAAAGATGAAGGTTGGTTTTATCTTTGCGGACCTACGTGGCCCGTACCAGATGTGAGAGATGCAATTGTTAATAGTTTTGTATCTGTGGGAGAATTATCAATAGGCGATGCTTCAGCTGCAGTAAATAAGTTAAAGGATTTGGAACGTTATATTTTAGAAGTATATTAAAGTATATTAACAAATTAATTGTATCATTAATTAACAAATTTTTCTATTAAGTGTTACTTTTTTTTGTAATTTAACAATTATAATATTTTAGTTGCAATCCTTAGATTTATCGTATACTTTTTATGAAAGTTTAAATCGTTAACCAAAAGATTATTATGTTTGATTTTTAGTATCATTTAATCGATAGAATTATGTAATTAGATTAGTTACAAGCAATAAGCATGATAAATTTGAGTTAATTGATGTATTTTCTTCTAACTTAAAATTGGTTAAGTAGAAATATTTAATATATGCGAGAATGATAGGTGCACGCTTGAACTACGAAAAGAAAAAGCTAAGGTTGTAATAAAATATGTAACATTTTACTTCTACTCCTCTTTTTTGGCGATTAAGCCAGTCTCTTCTATTTGTGCACGATAGGCTTCAGCAAGAAACCTGTAAATGAAGAATATACTATTTGAATGCATTTGCGCCTATTAAAATAAATATTTAGCTTTTAAACAGTCTTACAATTGTAAAGCAATAAACAGTGCCAAGGTGAT